AACTGGCGCTCTACATCAGTGAGTTTCAGCATCGCCGACCAGGCTAATCCGGGAGCTTTAAAGTACCATGCTGGGTCAAGACTATATGTTTGAAGGCAAACGTCTCTGAAGTTGTCCATAACGTCTGCCAACTGGAGGACATCAATCTTGTTGTAAAACAAGGTGTACTCTCTCATATCTTTGATGTTGAACTCATCCCAAACCTTTTGAGCATGCTCATAATCTGATTCTGATACATCACACTTATTTAATTTGTTTTTGAAATCATGAAGTTCCGGCAGAGTTGTCATATCATATTTTGTTATGTTATCCATGAAGTCATAGGGATAAACCCCTTTTCTTGTTACCAAGTCTATCTGTGATGATCTGACAAATCTCTTTGTATGCTCCAACTGATCTGTAGTTAAATTGTTAATCAATTGGTCTAAACTTGCACTTAAAAACTTAAAAGAGTCCAAGAATCTCAGTTCCAACCCTCCCCTAACTCGAATGGTGAATGATATAAATCGCTCATCGTTTTGGGGAATCACTTGGAGTTTCTCACCTTGTCGTCCTATTTCTTTGATGAACTGATGTATGTCATAGCCAGAAAGGTTGTGCAAGAAAACAGGAATAAATTTGGGCTTAGTAATCAATAAGTTACATTTGGAATGGGCAAAGCCTCGATACAAACCAGTGAGGTGGTCGTGATCCCTCACTTTGTCGGTTTCATTGAGAGGTTCCTGGCAGATGTGGCAGGTTACCGCTTCTTTATGTCTACGTATCTCTTCTTCCTCCAATGGTTTCATTGGAATGATCTTTTCGTAGATTTGTTTTATCTCTACAGCCTCCTTTTTCAACGCCTTGACAAACTTTCGTCCAGCATCTTCCCCAAAATATGTCGTTGGAGGCTTTTCACTGCCAGAGATATAGTAACAGAAAGTTATAGCTTCGTGTTTCTGATAGCTGTATGTGTACGATCTCTTAGCACAGTTTTCATCAACTCCCGATGGTTCACAAGTAGAATTCGGGAGGAGCATGCTCTCCAGATCGGCATAAATGACATAAGGAACTTTCATTGATTTATTGTCTTCTGTAAATTTTATTTTGCCATTTCTTCCAGTGGTAGGGAGCTTTATTTTTACGGCATCATGTCTAGAGCAGTCCTCCCTATGTGTCTTCAAATTGTCTTCGTTATAAAAATGCTGAAGACAACGTCCGCACATATCGCATTTTCCACCATGTTTTGTAGCTTGACTGCGAACTAAACGAGATAGGTTTTTGATTAGAAAGTAGTGTGAGTTCGTTCCATCTTTAACCAACGACAGGTCTACATGCACAGGCTTTTCTTCATCTGTTACACACACGGGAAAAACATCACTATTTTCTTCAAGACCGTATACATTGATCGATAATCCTGCACGCTTTTCGAATTTTTTTACATCAGTCAGTTTGACTGGAAAATCTATCCCATCAAATAACTCGAGAAATCCATCAACCTAAGCAGTGTAGCTTTCGATCCGCTCCGGGTGTACGTTTAGAGGGTGGAGTGCTGCTAGACAACACCACATGAAACAACGCTGATCATTGTTTTTTATGTTTACAAAAGCGTGTTTCAAGCGATTTTTTTCTGGCAGGGCTATGTAACTAGACCCTTTCAAAGGCTTAAGTCGGTTGATATGTAAAAGAAGACATTCAATCGTTTTCATGTTCCAATTGGAGCCTTTGTGATTAAAACTTTCCATCTCAGTCAATAGTTTTTGTTTTGCCTCATTTAACAAATCTGATGGATTAGAATCTTCGTAAATGATGATGTTTTTCGTTTTGAATTCGAAATCAGATTCGACTTTTTCCGTAATCCCTTTAGCGAACTTTGCCTTAAGGATAAGTTGGATTTTCAATGAAGTTCCCTCATCACGAACCTTTTCGATTATAAGTTTTTTGGAATCTTCGATAAAAGTTTCAACACTTTTGTAGCCATTTACTTTGGCATTATTGATCTCGAACGTCTTCATTCGACCTCTGAACGCCGTTTTAGATTGGATGATTTCAAGTTTAGGTGGGGGAGGCTTACGTGGGACTTGCACTATGATGGATGGCCGAACTATGACGAATGGCCGGTTTAGTTGCTGTTTTTCTATCCACGCCGCTTTGTGAGCTCTACTCCCAGTATGACGGGTCCAGTTTTTCCTAGTAATACTGAGGTGACATACATCACAGAATTTTAATGTTTTTGTATCGGCTCTCCTGACGGGAACTGCACGACATCCGAAACATCTTCTTCCTGCTCTTGAATGTCCATCATCTCAGTAGCACCATGTAGTTGTTCCGAAATATCGAACTCACTATGTTAGGGTTGACGACGCTTCGGTGGTGTAGGACGGGTCTCGTTATCGCTGTCGTTGTCAGTAGGAAACGGCCGCTTGGTAGCACTTTGAACAACCGGTGACACATGATGTTCTCCGTCAGAGACCGAGGCAACATCTAAGCGGCGTTCTTCCCTAGCACCTTGTTGTTCCTCAATATCGTCTTTATAACGTTGGAGCCAACGACGCTTCGTTGGTGTAGGAAGGCTGTCGTCATCACTCTCGTTATCACTAGGAAACGGTCGCTTCGTAGCACTGATACTAGCCATCACCACAAATCCTCGTCACACTTATAAATGTAGAGTTGAAATGACTTTTCACGCACTACAAAATTTTAATTTCAAAGACTCGAAAATTGTAATAGCACCTCTCACAACCACCTCTCAGAGAAGACTGACGAAATACCGGGCTGTTGCACAATCATCGAAACACATGACCATATATGGTAATGTTCTTAAACATTCCAAGATGATCACGTGACCATAATGCATTTCCTTTTATGGTAATGTTTTAGAGCATTCCATGATCACATGATCCTAAGACAAGTGACATCACTAAACACGGAACGACTCAACTCAGAAGACACGTAATACTCAAAAGGAACGTACAGTATTTGAGAGTAATTCCAACCTCTATGCACATATAAGCTGTATGCAACGAGCCACGGCGATGTTGTGGGTCACAAACTACCAATAGCACAAGAATACATACTCCATGTGTGGGGTTGGAGAACACCTCCGGATTTTGTGGGGAGCTATTCCTATAAGAACCCATATTGGATCCCCCAGTAGGACAGACATATATATACTACTGACCTACCTCACTCCACGTGGTCGGAGATCCTCTGTTTACATGTGACGTCATGGACACACCCCCTCCTCCCTCCCCCCACCCCCCGACACTGGTCTAGACACCTCCTCTCTCATAATTTACCAATTTTACCAACATTTTCGTCAAAATTCACTGCAAACCATGAACACGCGTGTCTCCAGCTTCACACCTAGTGCGAGCCTAGTTAGCTGTCACAGCACTCCAAACACACCGCTGTCTACCCAAAACACCCAATATGAGTCTACACCCATCGCCTTCTTGCGGGGTAATAACACAAATAATGGTATTAAATAATAAATAATGGTATGCTCGCCTTCTTGTCTGACCACACAACACTGGACAACACACCCCTTTCGAGGAAAAACAGCTGTCACATGACCAGACAAGGGGGAGGTCACTGACCCTCCTCACTCACATACCTTCAGCGTTTTTACTGATTTTACCACCATTTTCATCAAAATTCACTCAAAAACCATCACTTTTTCCACCAAATTCAACAGAAAGTGAAGGAAAACACACAGATTTTCAAAGTTTTCAACGATACCTCCTCTGTCCCAGAATCCCCAAAAGTACTACTACTGACGTGCCTCACTTCCGGGGGGTGTACCTAAAAAACTAGCTAAAAAATCTTTTTAGAATATTTTTAGAGAAAAGATCCAAAGATTATTTGAATTGTATATTAACAAACCACTAGTACTCCAGCCAGTGGCACTGCTGATACAATTCCTAAAATTACACTGAACTCAATTCAATGGGTGATCCCACATGTGATACCATCAGATGGGGAGAAGTTACAATTACAAAAGATGTTATTGCAAAATAAAAATTTGCAAATTGCATTTAGAAGTTTAGAGCTGCACGAACTTCCATCATATCCCAATACCACAAGACATACATGGTCAGTAAAGACGTCTTCCAGTTTGGAGAATCCTAGATATGGTAATAAAATCGGTCGAGTAGAACTCTAGATTTAGTTGTACAAAGATTTTTAAAACTGAATTATATATAGAATAGATAATCAATGACAAAATCAGAGTTAATAAAAAACCTAATAGTTAGAATAATATTACGTTTAACCAGCTGTTAGTTGAAACAAATTATATAGGACTAAAACAAATAAATTATTACAAAGATTGCTTTACAAAATAATTTGATCATCCTAGTATATTACTATGAATATTTAATTAATCTGCCATCCTCGTACCGAAGAATTGAATGTATCAATGGTCAGCATTACATAGAGTATAAATAAACCCTAAGTATGTCTTTTAATTTTTTTCCAAATGCTGAATTTGTGTCCACCTGTTTATACTGATTATTACTGTTTATACGTGTACTCTTGATATTAAGTAACACTAAAAGATACTACAACTACAATCAGCTGGTGCGCAGTGTTTTCCATTCCGTTCAACGCTTGGGTTTAACTTTAACTTAACCTAAAACGTGTTGTATAGTGTTTGAGAGACTAATTGTTTATACACTTTAAAGTGACTGTAGGAAAAATATATTGTGTAACAGGAGCGCAAATTAACTTTGCTCACTAGTTAGACAAATAACTATTTTTATTTGTATTAGAAATCGTTAGATTCTACCTTTCCTACTCATCTTATACTAAGAATCGTCGATTAGCAGCCCGTTCAAGTCCTAGTGGTAGTCCGGGGATGGGTTCATTCAACGGTATTGACTGTCACATTTCTTAAAAGTTTTTAGAACTGTGATATTAAACATTTTTAAAGAGGGGAAAGGTCGCAATATTTATGCTAAAAGTTGTCAAAATCCTTATAATTTTACGAACTTGGGAGCGAGCTTGCCAGAGGAGCTCACCTGGATATGTTTCTCGAGCTTGTCGACGTTGATCTGAGCTCGTTGGGAGAATATTGCACACGCCATTGGAGTAGCGAACGTCAGAATGGCTCCACAGATGAGAGTCTGCACTGGCGCTGCACTCCACGGATACCTTCTGAACACCCCCTTCTGATCTAGCTTGTTCACTATGACTGGGGTTAACACTGAAATAATAACAAACCTACGTAAGTAATTCAAAACTTAAGAAATACATGTTTCTATGTGACTAGCCGTTTCTTTAGTGATGAGGTTAATTTACTAAATGCACAATAATTATTAACGACAGTTGAAGTACAGGCAGTTTAAAACCGCTAACTTACGACACATCTTGCTCGGAATTGCAAAATTAAGGTTTGCAGGTCAAAATAAGGAGAAAATCAAGAATTAAAGTTTTTCAAAATCACTTCATTAACCAGATATCCACCAATTTGTATTTTTACATAAACATTTTTATCTTTGAATCGTTTCAACCGATCTTTTTTGGTGTGTGTGTTTAAGGTTGAGGAGACCCATGTAAAAAAATACTTGATCCAATTAAAATGTTCAAAATGGTGGCCAAATTTTTAAAATTAAATGACAAAAAATAGCTGATGTTATGGAAAAATGTCAAGGAAGCATTTAAAACTTCCTATCAAACGATACCAAGGCCAAAAAGATCGAATAAAAAATAGCTTAAATATAACGATCTTTAGTTGTAAATTAGGTGGAATATTGAAAAAACTTGAGCCAGCTTCCCTCATTTTACCTGATTTGTACCTACAAATCGTGATATTTTTGCTATTTATTATTCAATGTTTTTGCAGTTGGTGTAGTTTGATAAGAAATTTTAATTAAATGCTAATTAAAAGGGTTCTTAAATTTTTTTCAATCTTTTTTTTAAAATAGGAATTTTTTAATTTAAATTTTAAAATTTAGTTTTTACGCGTTCGTTATGTAATTCTTTGTTGTTGGTCAGCTTCTTGGACTTATACTCCAACAATATACAGCAAATGCGTTGTTTGTGGTCTCTCAACACATACTTGTAACATGTACACGTCTTAACACTATTTTTCTTTCGCTTTAATTCGATTGAAATTGAAATTGAAATGCAAATAATTAAATTTAACAGAATGTATTGATGCTTCTAAATTTGCCTACTTACATCTGTGACACAATTAAACTGACCCATGCTTGGTGACCCCATCACTACTCTACTGAAGACCACAGCTGCGATGCCTGTTTTGGCAGCCACCTTTGACTCGCCAAGCTTGTTGTTGTTTATATCGTACACTGGTATCCCAGTCTCAATCTCCCTTAAACAAAACTATACATGGTAAGTATTCACAGCCTAAATTCATAAAAAAGCTATTATGATTTAGGAATAATTTAAATATATTGCAGAAAGAGTTTAGTTAAAGAATATCTTCTAAGAGGTTAAACTGCTCTGTGAGTTAATTATTTTATGATTTAGTTTTAACGTATTAATTATTTAACTTGTTAAAATTTTTACATCTTGTACTGTACTATGTTGATTGAGAAGTTATTTATTACATTTTTTACGACTAGTTTGCTTACTTAATTCTCATCGTAGGAATGTTGATACAGTTGGCTGCAGCTACGGCAGCAAAAGGCACTAGGCGACCAATAAGAGGAGGTGCTCTCTGAAAATTAAAACAGTCTAATAAGTAGCCAATAGATGTCAATTTGTGTATGTTTATGCCAAAAATATGAATATATTAAGACTATGAGTGAGTGTTTTAGCGAATTTTCCTATAGGGAAGTAGCTATTACCGTAGGTGGCACGGGAAGACGAATGAGTCTGTGTTCGTTGAGTAAGACTTTAAGCCGGGACCAATATACTTTTCCATTTTTATGTCTCTAGAGGTTAAAAACAAAAACAGTGAGATAAAACAAAAAGTATATAATGTCAACTATACGTGTAACTATACGTCAGTAGATAGTTTCATGCCGATCCTGGGCCAAATATATGAATATCTGATGTAAACTTGATGTTATCAAAAAATCACAATTTCGATTTATTATATCATTTTTTATTGACGTGCGATGATTAATATCTATAAAGAAAACCCTCAATAGATATTTCTATATAAGTTTGTCCAAAGACTGTTTCATGATTAATAAATAAACAATCATATGTTTCCTCAATTGTTTCCGGTTGAAAACAAAGAATAGTTTCAGTGTGTTGTTTTGTTGAATACAATAAAGAGGATACCTAGTTTTTGTTAAAATTTATTTTGTCATTTCTAATGTTTGATATTAATCGTCCGTGATATCAAAGGAATTGAATCACGTATAGTGACGACATCAATTGGCGACCGTGACAGGACTTTTAATTGGGAAAGACAAAATTAGGAGTTGAAGATTTAACAACTGAAATGCTAGAGAAAGGCTTGGAAGAAGGTGAGCAGAAGGGGACAGGAAGCAGAGCCTACGAGTTTCGACCACGGGTAGGACGAAATACCACGTTGGCAGAACAAATACCACAACCTGACCCGGTGAGTACTCTACTGTCCAAAATTTTGGAGAAGCTAGATATCCAATCTGAGATACTTGACTCACAATCGGCATATATTAATAGGTAGTAAAATGTCATCACTTGTGGAACAAACTTCTCAAAACTGTTCAAAATTAGGAAAAAGAATCGAATCATTGGAGTCAGATGTTGTCAAACCATTGATAAAATTACAAAGTTAGAAACAAATTTTGATAGTAACTCTGATAAATTAAATGAATTGGAAACTAAAATTAATTACATGGAAACTAAATTTAACACTAAAATGGAAGTTATTGGAACACAGGTATCCTCACAGGAAAAGACAATTACTTTGAATAATCCAGAATCCCAACTATCTTTCATGCCTACGGTAGATCTCAGCATTATAAAAGACAGTCTACCAGAATTTCACGGGAGGTTGGAGGAATGTCCCACAGCGTTTCTAGCTACGTGCGAATCTTTGTTAAAAAGGACGTGTATACCGTCAGAAATATATCTGCAGATTGTGAGCCAACAGTTGAGGGGTTCGGCGGGTACTTGGTGGCAAAACATTAAGGGTCTAAGTCTAGAATGGGACACATTCAAACATGAGTTTATGCAGAGATATAATTCACAGGCTGTCAAAGCATTAATCACTAAGAAATTCTTGACAGATGTTCAGCCTAGTGGCATGAGGGCTGGGGCATTTGTTATTCAAAAGTTACAGTTGTTTAAGAGAATGAATGATGGTGGGAGTATTGACGAGAGTGTTACTTATATTGTGGAACTTTTACATGATAAGATTAGGTCTCTAGTTAAGGTAGCTCAACCAAAATCATTTGACGAGCTCAGGAGCATAGTAGCAAAGCTAGACGAAGAGGTAAGCTTTTATTCCTCAAAAACAAGAACTTCGAACCCTGATAACTCCTTTAAATGTTATCAATGTGGGCAAACTGGGCATGTGAAGGCCCGTTGTCCGGAAAACTAGAACAGAACCGTTCTAATAGGGACGAGAATGGTTCTAGAAGAGTTTCTAAGTCCCAAAACTACCAGTCAGAAAGATATTGGTCAAATTTCTAGTGAGAGTGTGGGAAATCCTCGTCCGGCAATTAGTTTACAGGTTGGTGACAAATATTATACTGCAGTCCTTGATACTCAAGCATCACATTCGTTTATTGGCATGTCGGTGGCGAAATTATTAAAACCTGTTCGTCCAGACAGCGTAACTGTTGTCAAAGGTGCAGTACAGGATATAAATTACAAAATCGAAGGATTTACTTTTCTTGAAGCCAAATGTTCTCAAGAATCTATTCACATTCCGGTAAAAGTGATTAAGGATTTAATCCCGGAAATCATACTAGGGCATGATTTCCTTGTCAAATACGGTGTGTTAATAGATTGTACAGCAAAAGAAATATTTTTCGGCATTAAAAATAGAGTTAGATTGGGATGGTTAGAGGACTAACACTTTGATTTGGAAGCAGAATTAGAAAACAACGTTTTGGATGAACTGAAAACAGGGATATTGGATCTTAATTAAAGAACAGACTTGATTAATTTACTCAGTATCTTTCAAGAGGTAATTACAGACAGAATTGGGTTTACTACTACGGTAAAACACAAGATCTCTTGTAAAGATAACACTCCTGTCAAACAGAAACCTTACCCTCTTAATCCCGACAAACGGAAGTTTGTCATAGAAAAAGTAAAGGAAATGGAAAATCAAGGGCTAATTGAACTGTCATCTTCAGGATGGGCTTCACCAATAGTATTACCCAAAAAGAAGAACAGAGACTACAGACTTTGTGTGGATTTACGTGAAGTCAACAATAAAACTATTGCTGATGCTTACCCAATGCCTGTTCTACGACATCTGATTAAGCAAGTTAGTGGGGCCAAAGTATTTAGCACTTTAGATTTGAATTCTGGCTATTGGCAAGTAGAGGTAGAAGAATCATCTCGGCCTATGACCGCTTTTTCAACACCAAGGGGGCTATATCAATTCCGTGTTATGCCCTTTGGATTGAAAAATGCCCCAGCAACATTTATGCGTCTGATAGACAAAGTTTTGTCGGGTTATGTTGGTGAATTTTGTCAAGTTTATTTGGATGACATACTAGTTTACAGCAAAACATTTTCTGACCATTTGGAACATTTGGCTAGAGTATTAGAAAGATTAAAAATTTATGGACTTACCTGTCAAGTGAAGAAATGTCACTTTATGTCCAACTCAGTAGAATATCTGGGTCATGTGTTAACAGACAAAGGATTAGAGAGACAAACTGAGAAAAACAAGGCTATTGAAGAGTATGAAAGACCTGGTACGAAGCGGAAAGTACGACAATTTTTGGGCCTGTGCGGTTGGTACAGTTGTTTTGTACCTAATTTTGAATCCAAGGTTTCACCTCTGACTGACCTTCTTCATAAAAATACACCTTTTAAATGGACCGAGACGGAAGAGAAAGCTTTCAGGGAGATAAAGAGATCCATCTGTGACTCTCCGGGATTAGCTTATTTGGACCCCAACCGGGAAATATGCTTACAGACAGATGCCAGTAATGTGCCTTGGGGCTGTTCTCTTTCAAGAGCGGATAGAAGGAGGCAAGGATATCATTGAATATGCAAGCAGGAAACTTTCCCTTTCTGAGAAAAACTATTGTACAGCTGAAAAGGAGGCTCTGGCGGTAGTGTGGGCAGTCGGGAAATTCAGGGGGTATCTCGAGGGAAGACAATTTAAATTATTCACTGATCACTCATCACTACAGTGGCTAAACAAAGTATCCGGAACCAAGTCAACACTGATGCGATGGTCCTAAATTTTGGCCGATTTTGACTTTGAAATACATCACGTCCCAGGAGAGTTAAATCAAGCCGCTGATAGCTTGTCAAGAAACCCGGTAGACAGTGGTGAGATATCCAAAGAACTCATGGAGAGGGAAGTTCCAGTCCCAATGAAGTTAAGACAGATTGAGCCTGTTCTTATGGTGGCACAACGGGAAATTGTGACATTGACTTGGAACTGATAAAGAAATGGCAGAATGAAGATGCAGCTTGTAGTAGAATGAAATCCTGGATAACCAAACGTTACACTAATTCTGAAGCTGTCCCATTCCAGTTCAAGACATGCTATAAGAACCTTCGCTTGGAAGACAGTTTACTTATGTACAAATCTCATCTATCAGAACCTTCTCCTGTGATTGTAGTTCCGAAGTCTCAGGCCGTAAGGATTCTAGAGAAGTACCACGACAGACCTGAAGCTGGCCATCCAGGACAAGACGAGACCTACACTTCGATTCGGCGCCGTTCCTTCTGGGTAAATATGCATCGGGACATCAAGAACTACGTCCAATCCTGCACTATCTGTGCCAAGGCTAACAACCAAAAAGCTAGTACAAGCATGAGAGGACGTCGGCCACACCAGCCGTGGGAGGTTGTTGCTCTAGATCTTATGGGACCATATCCCAGAACATCTCGAGGGAAGACTGGAATTTTGGTGGTGACAGACCTTTTTACCAGGTGGGTCGAAGCATTTGCTATTCCTGAAGCTACATCGGGAAGAATCCTACCGATCCTACGAACAGAGGTCTTTAGTCGGTATGGTTATCCACGATGTCTTCTCACAGATAATGGCAGTCCGTTCATGTCAAAACAATGGTTGCGGACTTTAACTGAGTGGGCTATTGAACACTGGACAACGCCAATCTACCATCCTCAGGCAAATCCTACTGAACGGAGAAATCAGGAGCTTAAGAAGCTGTTCAGAATTCATTTGTTTGACAAAGAACATACCAAATGGGATCAAAACTTGCATGAGTCTCTCCTGGCCATCAGACAACGAGTGAATCGCGTCACAGGGTTCTCTCCAGCAGAACTTTTTTCTCGGTCGGGAAATAAAAAGAACTGGTGATTGGAACTTTATGCATGAAAAATCTCCTGAAACTATGAATTTGACTGCATGGCATGAAGAGAACGCAAAACAAATCAAACGTATGAATCGACAAGCCGAAGAGAGTTCGAAGAGGGAAGCAGAGAGAAATGATGTACCTGAAGAGCAGGACCTGAAACCGGGTACGTTGGTTCTTCGGCGAAACCATCCTTTGAGTAGTAAGCTTACAAATGTGCATGCAGGGATGGCACGGAAATGGCTTTGACCATTTGAGGTGGAACACAAGCTAGGGAAGGGAGTGTACCTCTTGAGGTCTGATCCACCAATTAAGGTACACATGTCGGAGTTGAAATTACTCCCGCAAACTCTCCGTGAAGCAACTCAAGCCGAAGATGATGAACTAGAAGCAGAAGACCATAACGATGCCTTACCTGGTTATAACTTAAGGTCTAGAAAGAGGAAGATTTAATATATATATTGAGGGTTTTGGGGGGGATGATTGACGTACGATGATTAATATCTATAAAGAAAACCCTCAATAGATATTTCTATATAAGTTTGTCCAAAGACTGTTTCATGATTAATAAATAAACAATCATATGTTTCCTCAATTGTTTCCGGTTGAAAACAAAGAATAGTTTCAGTGTGTTGTTTTGTTGAATACAATAAAGAAGATACCTAGTTTTTGTTAAAATTTATTTGGTCATTTCTAATGTTTGATATTAATCGTCCGTGATATCAAAGGAATTGAATCACGTATAGTGACGACTTCAATATCATTTCATTAATCTTTGATGGATGATTTAAGAATCTTAAAAAAATATCATCAAAATCTGGTTTAATACAAAAATTCTATTCAAAATGTCTAAAAATAATTGGAATATTTTTTAAAATGATATATTTCCTTTTGTAAAACTGAAATATGCATTACAAATTAATGTAATATTTGTTTCATCTCCAAAACTCAATTTGAAATCAATATTATATATTTTGTTTAAGAATTGATAGTAAAATATCTAGTTTGTATACTTTCTTTGTTTTAAAAATAATTTTATGTTTTTAGGTGTTATTTCAAAACTATTATCTAAAATACATAATGTATAGATTTCATTGGTATAGTTCGGCCGCTTAGAAAGCGACCTCCTCCAGATTGGTTTAGCATTAGCGCGCAGGTCGTTTTCTAAGCGGCCGAACTATAGTTGTTGTGTACAATATGGTTGAAAATGATTAAATTTCCTTAAAATATTTATAAGATGTTTGTTCTTATTCTTACGTTTATTATTAATCTTTCTCTTAAATATAATTATTTTACATATATTTCATCCTACACAATTTCCAATAATTTGTGAAATCAGTAAAATTATGGCATCTATAACACATATCCATTTATATGTAAACATTTTTATATCTGAATGTAAGAACCTATTCATTGTCATGAATGTAAGAAGAAGACCGCAAATATTAATCCAGAAATTGTTGAAATGAAAAATGGATTGTTTAGGATTGCTACTAAATGTTCAATATGTAAAACAAATACAAGTTAGATAATTAAAAAGGAACTAAATAAAATACCCCCGCCGCAGCAAACCTGCAGACTAAGCGAATTTTCATCTACCTGGCTGGAATTCCACTAAATTATTCCCTAAAAATTGTCAGATTTATTCCCTAAATAAGTATCATTAATTTTAATGAGTACTTAGGTTTGCTGCTACAGGGAAGAAAATAGGGGTTTTTATTAAAATATTGATAGCTTAGTATGAAGTAAACAAAATTTAAAAATTTCATTAAAATATACACATAGACATGCAAGCTACAACAGTTTATTTATTTTCCATAAGAATAACATGGTTATTTTAAATTTACACTTTTTTGGGATTTTTCCGTAACCGTTAGGCATACAACATTTCTTCAATCTACTAAATTATTTGTTTTTTTTTAGCTCTACAAAATGGTTTAGAAAGAGATTGCAAAATGTTATGTTTTCAGGGTGAAAAATGGGTGTCTTCCATTTTGCCCCAGTCCATTTACCAGTGTCATTGTCAGTCCATTTACCGGTCAGTCCATTTACCGGTCAAGTGTGGGGGTGAGGAGGCTCTAGGGAGGGGAGGTTTTCCATTTTGCGGTCAGGTTTCGATTCCTAGAATACCAGACTATTTTGAATGAATAGGTTCCATGCACTAGAGCAGCAACATTTCTTGATTGTTTGCAGATGTCGAGTTTTAGATCTTCACGAGGAGTTGTTGATGGAGCCACCTTTATATTAAATAAAATAGAATAGAAACGTAATTTATCTAAAGCGGGTTTCAGTACAAAAATACACTGCCTTTCAAAACAACTCAAGTCAGGTACACAGTATTCAATACTATAATAAAAGAGAACAAATAATTTAATTAAAACTAATACAACTAACCTATATTTACAAATAGAGTTTTCTTGTTTCTCGTCTGAGAGCCTTATAACTTAAAATTTTAATTCTTTCAGGTAAAAAAATTGTATTCCTGAGGGCCGAAAAAAGAAAACCCCTTCTAGTTAGAAGTTGAATTAAAGTTTACACGAGGCAAATGCAGTAGGCTATCCTGTCTTGTGCGCCGTACTTCTTTCCGAGTGGTTAGTTTATCTTTGAGATAGGAGAGTCTGTTGGTTTTGACCACTTTATGTACTATGGCAACAGTTTCAAGGACGCAAAACAACCTGCACTGGTAACATTTCACTTCTTTCTGATATGTGATATGTGATCAATTTTTTAGATCAAATCTTAAAGCATTATTTTGCAAGCGATCCAAGATATTCAAATTTTCTGCTGACAAAGAAACCCCAAAGGCAGGCAAAGCATAATTTAGGTTATTATTGGCATTACCATAAATCTTACCATTTGTAATTTTACATTCTCAGCTAATATATGCCTAAATCTATTTAACACTCTGAGTAAAGATATGACCCTTTGTACGCTTGTTTTTACTTGTTTTGAAAATTTTAATCCTGTATCAATCGTTTAACAGACAGATTCTTCTTAAATCACAAATCATGCTGATAATAGCCTATTAAAAATGGCCGTTTATTTCAACAAACTAGTCTATATACAAACAAGTAGGCAATATACACATCAGTTAAAAATCAAATTAAAAAATATATGTTTAAAAAAATCTATTTACATATAAACAACTCTTTAACTTTGAAAACTGTTTTGGAGAAAAATATGATGTATCTATACAAATTAACAATTTATTCGCGTTCCTTAAGATTTTATCTAAATAAAAAATATATATTGACCTATATTTGAAAGTGGTATTTAGAAAAATAATTACAATAAATTTTTTTTTAATTTTTCTAGTTCATAAAACAATCTTACTTACTATAGATTAAAATGAAAAATTTAAGTCGGGGGGTGAAATACATTTTAAATTTGCATTTTTCATAGTTTTCTCGATTTGTTAACACAATTTTTTACTATTTTTATGTCATTTATGTGCTAGGCAGGTGATTTTAAATAGCCAAAGTTAAGAAAAAACTTCAAAGCAGCTCTAACTTTTTTTACACCAACAGCCGTTACAATTAAATTACAAACATAAAAAGTAAAACAATTTATTGGCAATTAATTTCTAGATTTTTTTTAATATAAAAAAATCATTATTGAACTATGATTTTTCTTGCCCAAAGAAACGTGGAGTAAAAAGTGTGATGTTCAACAATCATCGCGTCTTCTGACCGCCAAAGTGCGTTTATCATTCTTTTAAAGGATTAAAACTTATTTCATTTCACTTTAAGAAAAATGTTCAAATACACATAATACAGTACTACTCGTGATTTGAATAAGTTTATTGCATAGTTTGGTCACATACTATTGGTGCATTGGTGTACAACATACCGACGCGTCATCGGCCTGGCTAACCACTCTGAGTCATCAACCTGGCTCACATGTTCTCGGAATTTTAGAAATATGTGACCGCAAAATGGAAAACTTTTTTTGACCCACCCCTCCAAATTTTTGGGTTGACCGGTAAATGGACGATTTTACCCTTGACCGGTAAATGGACGACCGCAAAATGGACACAACCGAAAAATGAGGAAAACCCATTTTTACCCCATAAGACCCCCCATAAACCCCTGTTCCCATAGTCCGATCATGCTGGTTCACGAATTTGTTCGAATAAATGTAGGTTTACACGTTTATACCAAATTTCATCAAAATCAGATCATTTTTGCTCGAGTTATCGCGCTAACGGACACATATACAGGGTGTTCAAAAAAGGTGGGGACATATTTTACCTAGTGATTCCTTGGGTCAAAAGAAAGATAAAATCAAGAATAAAATTGTTTCCCAAAATCGCTTTGTTAACCAGATATCCGCCATTGTGTATGTTATACATAAACATTTTTATCTTCTAATAGTTTCAACCGATTTTTATAAAACTTGGTATGTAGGTTAAGGTAGAAGAGACCCGTGTTATACAAATATTTCACCTTGATTCAACCTAAAATTTCAAAATGGCGGCCATTCAAAACTTTTATACTTAAATTACTCCAAAATGACTGGTTTTATGAAAAAATGTCAGGAACCCTTTTATTTAGCATTTGTAACCTATCAAACGATACCAAGTACAATTATACAATAAAAAAATAACTAAAAAAGAAAAAAATATCATTACATTTCAATCATTGGCAATTCATTGAACAAAAAGCAATATCTGGTAAAACATATAGTTTTGATATAACGAATATATATAGAAATATTTATAATACAAAATTTGTGATAATTAGTTTTTAAAGAGGTAGATCGAATATCCAAGAGACCTATTTCCAAGCGTACACGGATTACGTGCATAATAGAACCACGCTGGGTTGTGTTGTTTCGTTGGAATCCTGATGTGCGGCAAAATATAAACCGTACGACAAAGTATAAACCGTACGGCAAAGTATAAATATGCAGCAATTAGCAGCTTTCTGTACTATAAACAGTACATGGAAGCCAACTTTGTCGGGTGACTGTAGGAAAAGAATATTACCCCTTACCATTTTAACAGATTACATTACATATTAAAGAACATTTACATACCAAATTACCAAACCTTCAGCGAAAAAAGGTCTTGTAAACTAATGACTTCCTCCGAGCAAAACTCAGTATCGAAGGACTAGATCTAATAAAAGTTATTTTCCTCAATGATATATTTGTAGGACTGTTCAACATGCCCACACAATAATAATTGTTACTGATTGAAATTCTGGAAACCACAGCAATGGTCCATAAAAGAATAGTAATTTACTTACTTTAACCATCCTATTGAGGGTAAGGGCGGTAGCTAAAGCCCCACTTGTTGCCATTGCGTATGACTTTGCCAGCTGACTAAAACAAACGGGTAAAATTAATACTAGCACAGAGGTAAACTAGGCTACTTGACATATCTTACATATTTATAAGTGGTTAAAAGAAATTATCTTCCGCTCAACAAGACACTGTTTGAGCATCTATGCCTGCACGATCCAGTAACGGATATACCTCCCTTTGAAATTAGAACGTGTCTTCCCAACAAACAGATATTTTGTTTTAAATAATATCATAGATTAATCTGCATTACACTGATGAAATCACGGAAGTGTTTAACTACAAAAGATCCACCAATACAATTTTAATACTATTTAAAGGTTCTTCCGAAGGAAGAGATACCAGAGAACATACTAAAAATAACTCCTATGACGTACGGTATGGGGAATATTTTATTTATTGAATGATCAACCATATTTGGTTACTAACGCAATTAATATCATTATTGTTTTTAAACTTATTACTCTTTAAACAATGCTAAATGCTCAAAATATGTATAATTTCACTCAATTTATCGCAGTTAGATGAATTGGTGTAAGCCTTGAAAGTTACCGTCGATTTCGACGGGTTTTACCTAGTGTTTAGCAATTAATGCAGTAAAATTGATATACAGTAAAAAATAGGTAGGGACGATTTATTTAATAATGTCAAATCTATGTCGGCATACACAATTTTTGGTTGATAAAGCAAATGTTAACTGGTTTGGTACGTCTCTAGAAAACTGCTCAATAAGCTGCAGGGTGTCAGGATAAACCAAATTCGATCCATACACACACATTACACATTATCCCGGTAGTACAGAATGGTTCAGAAAATTGAGCCCTCTTATTGCTGAATTTGGGAATAGAGTACAGAGAAAATATACGGGACATTTCAAGATAATGGTAGTTGAGATGAAAAAGAACAGAGAGCTAAGAGGAATAATCACCCAGATTTATGGGTGATTTTCAAAAGTAAAAAGCTCGGATGGACAGGCTATGCGTGGAGGAGAGGGATACATCAACTTGAAAAAAATTATTCCAAGGAATACCACAAGTATGAGGACCACATGGAGTACCAAGCAATAAATAATTCTCCAGACTGGAATCAACATTAAAAGAGGCAAGGGATAGAAGAGAATGGGAGGCCAAAATCCTCTTAAGGTTGCAGTGGCCACTGCGGTAAAACAAGATTATCTTTGAGTAGTATGCAATGGAAGGTGATATTTAGTAAATCGACCACCAATCCCACTTTAAGGCTTTTCAGATCAACACAATCGCTGTTGTAATGTAAAATTATCGGATTTGAAATGCGTATCGTATAGGCCTATAATCGGATGAAAAAATTAGGTGGTCACGTGATATTTGTTTACGAGATAATTTTTTCCTATTAAAACTGCCAGAATTTTCTTAGCGAGTGAACTAGCTGTTCTGAATTATAATCAGTTTTAATCGACTACGGTACTTGATTCCCGTACGTAGGACGGGCCAACAGCTTGTTATTCATTAAATTAATAACTTAAACATAACTGTAAACAATCCTACTTTGACAGTTCTCATTGTGTATCACAGCTTTTTGTTGCTGCTTAGTTCAAATTACCTGTTGCCATATATGAAAAAAATAATAGTGCAGCATCCTGTTTGGAAACCTTATATATTTTTAATGCTATTGCATATTATAGAACCAACTTGGTAAGTTGACTAAATTATTTAATTCCTTTTAAAAATGAAGGAGTTCATAAGGTTAACATGGGAAACTACAGAGCCACTGGGGCGGAGCCCAAAAGGATTTTTGAAATAAGAATATGCCTATAGGTTAATCGGTAATGTTAGGTATCATCATGCCAAATGTCAGCCCAATCCGTCCAGTAGTTATTGCGAGATTGAACTTCAAACAAACAAAACAAACACACAAACTTTCACATTCATAGAAGATGCGGTAAATTATAATGGATTGAACCAGTATCTAATTCAATTGCCAACCTGCCGAACGTTAGTTTACAAAACAATACTTACTCGGCAGGGATGGGATTAGCGCCACTCCGGTTCGTATAGTTGACAACAGCGTTGAAAGACTGATTGAACCACTGCCAGAACACGACAGCAGGAGTTGACCTTGCAAAGGACAACCAATTAATTAGTGAAATAAAGAGATAATACCTACTAACAGAGTCTTGTAAACTTACTCTTAGGCTTGGGGTAACTCCCTTTCCAAATGAGTGTGGCCATTCGTTGTCGTGATGTGAGTGCATGAGCTCACTCTCGTCATCACCTCAACGTGTGTAGAAGGTGCTCCATACATGACTGAGGACTTCAAGAGAGGCTGCAACGTCCTCTCGATGGAACTGGAGCTCATGGAAAATGCTTGTGGGGTTGTTCAAGATTGCCCTGACTAAGATTGAGACGATAGTTTTTTTATTAAGAGCATCATAAACAACTGGCGATCACAAAATCTTCTCCATCTACTTGTAAAATTCTCATTAGGATTGTCATGCAAGTATTATCACTAATTTAGTATTGAAAGTATGTTAGACTAATTAAGAACATTTTATGTCGTGTTAAAAAAGTAAGATTACTTACTCAGTAGTGAATGGCCAATTTACCTTATGTAAATTCTTACAAATCAATAAAAACACCATTTGCAGAAAACACGGTCCTGGAGACAAGATATACCCTCTCCGACGACTAATATTTACGTAATTATAATGCAGTCGAATAAACATAATATTGTTACTGCAACAATCAGCCATACCCAAGGTGACGGTAGTACAGTGTCTAGTGTCAATGCCTTACCCTTCTAATAGAAGGAACGGCTCACACAAGGCCCACAAGGCCCCACTAGAAAAACCTTTTCTAGTGGGGCCTTGGCTCACTCAATTATGAGAGCCAAAACTCTTTTCACATTTTATCACTGTATTCTATCTAGTATAAAAACTGTCCAATAAATTTAAAGAAAACAATGATCGTACTTGTAAAAGGTCATCATCATGCCAGTGATGAACATGTTCATGGGGACCTGGGCTGACATACGGCCCACAAGGGTCATCTTCTCTCCCGTGTCAGGGTGAAACGCTGAGTCGTACAACAGCTTAGCTCGGTAGACATCGTCCAGGGTGAGCGTGCTCGGTAAATCCTCGCCAGCCCTACATGCATTAGGAGTCAAACACTGATTCGTAAACAAATTAGCTTGGTAGACATAGTCCAAGATCAGCGTGCTCGGACACTCCCTGCCAGCCCTACATACAATAGGAATCAAACACTGATTCGTAAACAGCTTAGCTCGGTAAACATCGTCCAGGGTGAGCGTGCTTGGCAACTCAGGAGTCAAACGCTGAGTCGTGCAACAGCATAGCTCGGTAGACATCGTCCAGGATGAACGTGCTCGGCAACTCCTCGCCAGCCCTTCATACATTAGGAGTCAAACACTGATTCGTAAACAGCTTAGCTTGGTAGACATCGTCCAAGATCAGCGTGCTCGGTAAATCCTCGCCAGCCCTACATGCATTAGGAGTCAAACACTGATTCGTAAACAGCTTAGCTTGGTAGACATCGTCCAAGATCAGCGTGCTCGGTAAATCCTCGCCAGCCCTACATGCATTAGGAGTCAAACACTGATTCGTAAACAGCTTAGCTTGGTAGACATCGTACAAGATCAGCGTGCTCGGTAAATCCTCGCCAGCCCTACATGCATTAGGAGTCAAACACTGATTCGTAAACAGCTTAGCTTGGTAGACATCGTACAAGGTCAGCGTGCTCGGTAAATCCTCGCCAGCCCTACATGCATTAGGAGTCAAACACTGATTCGTAAACAGCTTAGCTTGGTAGACATCGTCCAAGATCAGCGTGCTCGGTAAATCCTCGCCAGCCCTACATGCATTAGGAGTCAAACACTGATTCGTAAACAGCTTAGCTTGGTAGACATCGTACAAGGTCAGCGTGCTCGGCAACTCCTCGCCAGCCCTACATACATTAGGAGTCAAACACTGATTCGTAAACAGCTTAGCTTGGTAGACATCGTACAAGGTCAGCGTGCTCGGCAACTCCTCGCCAGCCCTACATACATTAGGAGTCAAACACTGATTCGTAAACAGCTTAGCTTGGTAGACATCGTACAAGGTCAGCGTGCTCGGCAACTCCTCACCAGCCCTACATGCATTAGGAGTCAAACACTGATTCGTAAACAGCTTAGCTTGGTAGACATCGTACAAGGTCAGCGTGCTCGGCAACTCCTCGCCAGCCCTTCATATATTAGGAGTCAAACACTGATTCGTAAACAGCTTAGCTTGGTAGACATCGTACAAGGTCAGCGTGCTCGGCAACTCCTCGCCAGCCCTACATACATTAGGAGTCAAACACTGATTCGTAAACAGCTTAGCTTGGTAGACATCGTCCAAGATCAGCGTGCTCGGTAAATCCTCGCCAGCCCTACATGCATTAGGAGTCAAACACTGATTCGTAAACAGCTTAGCTTGGTAGACATCGTCCAAGATCAGCGTGCTCGGTAAATCCTCGCCAGCCCTACATGCATTAGGAGTCAAACACTGATTCGTAAACAGCTTAGCTTGGTAGACATCGTACAAGGTCAGCGTGCTCGGCAACTCCTCGCCAGCCCTACATACATTAGGAGTCAAACACTGATTCGTAAACAGCTTAGCTTGGTAGACATCGTACAAGGTCAGCGTGCTCGGCAACTCCTCGCCAGCCCTACATACATTAGGAGTCAAACACTGATTCGTAAACAGCTTAGCTTGGTAGACATCGTACAAGGTCAGCGTGCTCGGCAACTCCTCACCAGCCCTACATGCATTAGGAGTCAAACACTGATTCGTAAACAGCTTAGCTTGGTAGACATCGTACAAGGTCAGCGTGCTCGGCAACTCCTCGCCAGCCCTTCATATATTAGGAGTCAAACACTGATTCGTAAACAGCTTAGCTTGGTAGACATCGTACAAGGTCAGCGTGCTCGGCAACTCCTCGCCAGCCCTACATACATTAGGAGTCAAACACTGATTCGTAAACAGCTTAGCTTGGTAGACATCGTACAAGGTCAGCGTGCTCGGCAACTCCTCGCCAGCCCTACATACATTAGGAGTCAAACACTGATTCGTAAACAGCTTAGCTTGGTAGACATCGTACAAGGTCAGCGTGCTCGACAACTCCTCGCCAGCCCTACATACATTAGGAGTCAAACACTGATTCATAAACTGCTAAGCTTGGTAGTCATCGTACAAGGTCAGCGTGCTCGGCAACTCCTCGCCAGCCCTACATACATTAGGAGTCAAACACTGATTCGTAAACAGCTTAGCTTGGTAGACATCTTTTTAGATCAGCGTGCTCGACAACTCCTCGCCAGCCCTACATACATTAGGAGTCAAACACTGATTCATAAACTGCTAAGCTTGGTAGTCATCGTACAAGGTCAGCGTGCTTGGCAATTCCCCGCCAGCCTTCCCTTTAATTCACCGCGGATGCCCGCCAGCTGTCACCCGCAGCGGGCGACCGCTGCACCAATGTGTCACCTGCGATCGACCGCTTGCACGTGGATAGTGTAACAGTCCAACCCCTAAGATTCCCTTAGGGGAGGTTTAAAGGAAGAGGTGAGCTAAACACTTTTCTGTGTATGTTCAGTGAGTGTACTGGTGATGATTAGTAGTATATAAAGACCTTCAACAAATGCCTATACTCATTGAACACTACTGATCAATCTGAAGAAATGTAGAGTTTTACACTTTTGATCATAGTTCAAAATGTTTTATGGCAGATTAAACTGTTTGATATATTTATGTAGGTAAATAAATGAAAAAAAAATCGTAATTCTTGAATTTGTATAAGAAAAATGAATCTTACAAAGAACTTCTTAATTTTATTTCGTCGATAAATCGTTCTGTATTATAGTCCGTAGCATATCGTGAAGTAATTTTGAACGGTGAGAGCTTCAGCTAGGTACACGACAAAACAACTACAGTAAGTACAATGCGCACAGCCAATGACTAGACCACGTGTAGTGAGTGACACTGGTGACTGATAGCAATAAATAAATAAAAAGGCCTTTATTTGAAAGCGAGTTTCATATTACATGTTTTTCAAATTAACTCGAGTCACTAAATCTAAACTATCCTAATATATACATAAGAATATACAAAAAAAGTAAAAAAAAAAATAAAGTTACAATATACATTTATATTTTTTTTTATTGCGGCCATGAATGAGTTTGTAATGAAGTGTTTAAGAAGGCCGAGGTTTGGTAATTAAACATGGGGAAAAAACACCAAAGCACCATGGAAAGGTGCTCAGTGACCCGAGGAAAATCACTGAGGGAAAAGTACTGAGGGAAAGTGCTGAGGGAAGAGTGTACAGTACTTTCACCGGGGTCCGGTACTGGGTACTTCCCCCGCCCTCCAAGCACCTTACGACCCTATAGAAGGAGCATCCTTGGGGGACTTAGAGTTGGGCCTCCGGGCCCGCCCCCGCCGGTAGGCGCCACCGGTGGGTCCCTTCCCCGCACTAGAGGCGTGTAGAGCTCGGTGCTTCCCGTTCCCCGCACTAGAGACGTGTTGAGCTCGGTGCTTCCCGTTCACCAGCACTAGAGGGTTGTTGAGCTCGGTGCTTCCCGATCCCCAGCACTAGAGGCGTGTTGAGCTCGGTGCTTCCCGTTCACCAGCACTAGAGGCGTGTTGAGCTCGGTGCTTCCCGATCCCCAGCACTAGAGGCGTGTTGAGCTCGGTGCTTCCCGTTCACCAGCACTAGAGGCGTGTTGAGCTCGGTGCTTCCCGTTCACCAGCACTAGAGGCGTGTTGAGCTCGGTGCTTCCCGTTCACCAGAACTAGAGGCGTGTTGAGCTCGGTGCTTCCCGTTCACCAGCACTAGAGGCGTGTTGAGCTCGGTGCTTCCCGTTCACCAGAACTAGAGGCGTGTTGAGCTCGGTGCTTCCCGTTCACCAGAACTAGAGGCTTGTTGAGCTCGGTGCTTCCCGTCCCCCAGCACTAGAGGCGTGTTGAGCTCGGTGCTTCCCGTTCACCAGCACTAGAGGCGTGTTGAGCTCGGTGCTTCCCGATCCCCAGCACTAGAGGCGTGTTGAGCCCGGTGCTTCCCGTTCCCCGCACTAGAGACGTGTTGAGCTCGGTGCTTCCCGTTACCCAGCACTAGAGGCGTGTTGAGCTCGGTGCATCCCTTCCCTGCACTAGAGGCGTGTTGAGCTCGGTGCTTCCCGTCCCCGCATTAGAGGCGTGTTGGAGCTCGGTGCTTCCCGTTCCCCGCACTAGAGACGTGTTGAGCTCGGTGCTTCCCGTTCACCAGCACTAGAGGCGTGTTGAGCTCGGTGCATCCCTTCCCTGCACTAGAGGCGTGTTGAGCTCGGTGCTTCCCGATCCCCAGCACTAGAGGCGTGTTGAGCTCGGTGCTTCCCGTCCCCGCATTAGAGGCGTGTTGAGCTCGGTGCTTCCCGTTCCCCGCACAAGAGACGTGTTGAGCTCGGTGCTTCCCGTTCACCAGAACTAGAGGCGTGTTGAGCTCGGTGCATCCCTTCCCTGCACTAGAGGCGTGTTGAGCTCGGTGCCTCCCGCCCCCGCATTAGAGGCGTGTTGAGCTTTTGAATTCTCTGAACTCTTTCCTTATCCTCCTTAGAGATGCTGTTTCCAAATGCAGTAAAGCAATATGTGAAGGCTGGAAGGACCAAGGACCGCATGAGTTGCGTTATGGCATATTCTGACAGGAGAGTTTTAAATCTGATAAGACCTCTCAGTCTTCCCACTGCACGTTGGACTGCAGATGTGACATGGTCAGAAATAAAGAGGTATCTGTCAAGTAGTACAACACCAAGCATGTTGACAGTGTCACAGACAGACAAACCCATGCCATCAAGGGAGACTGCAATATCAAATTTACTCAACTCCTGCATTATAACCCGGTTCAAACAGCCGTGGCACCTGACGGATTAGGAGACCCCAAGGGTTTGCCCTTGGAGTCTCCTAATCCCTCAGGTGCCACGGCTGTTTGAACCGGGTATAGAATGTGTGGTCCAGTATGCATGACAACACACTTGTCAACGTTCAATCCAAGGCCATTCATGTCAGACCATTGAAAAATGCTATGCAAATCAGCATTGATGAGTCCAATTGCTGCTGACGTCATGTCTGGCTTGTAT